TGACTGTTCAAAAATTAATTCTCGTTCAAAACGATCTGAAAAATGTTTGCAATAAATGAAAACATTAAATAAAACCTATCGTATATTTACACCGAATATTTATTACGAAGAAAAGGAAAAACGTTGTGGGCTTATAACGGATGTGACACGGATGAAATCTGCTCGCGGGTGTTCCAAGAGAGCCCGGGATGTTTTTGAAAGTTGTCGCGCAGTGAACATCGTCTCTTGAATGTATCAAAGGAGCGTTCGAATATCAAATTGGCTGACAAAGAAGCAGCGAGGAAAATAGTTTCTGCTTCCGTTTCATATTATGTTTAGGACGCTGAAGTTCTGATAAACTAGTGTTATTTATTTCTTTTGTCAGTCGCTTTGGGATTAAATGTACACCGTGCTTTGAACTACGACTACGACAGTACTATCACGATAATGGTCTTCTGATGATGTTAGCAGCTCTAGAAATTTTAGCATCTATACATATAAATAAAATTAGAGTGTCTGTTTGTGGTATTGAAATAACCGCTTTTTACTACATGTATATGAATATGTATACGGTACATACACGAAAATAACATTTTTTACAATTTTTGTCTGTCTGTCTGTTTGTTCCGGCTAATCTCTGGAACGGCTGGACTGATTTTGATGAGACTTTCACTAATAGGTAGCTGATGATATAAGGAGTAACTTAGGCTACTTTTTTTAGACTAGTTTTGCCCCGCGGCGTCACCTACAGTTATTGTCGTACCGCGCGCAACATGGCGGGCTTCGCCTATCAATCAATAATAAAATTTAATGTTTCCGAAGCGAAGCGAGGGCGGGTCGCTAGTTACAAATAAATTCTCCAAAACAACTATTACAGAAGCGCGTTGGGATAAAAACACTGATCCCACTAAAATTATTATTATAAGGAAATCAATACAATAGTAAAAGTAACATTGTGTCAAATACGTTCCTTTTGAACGGATACAATGGGACGTCTAAACGTTGCATAGCAATGAATTATGTTAAACGGCTATCAAATCGATGTCAAACTAACATCTACTATGTTCACTTTTTGAAGATTTTAACTTTTTGACTGTTTTATGACAGAGCAATATGTTTGGGAAACTGTATAATGGGTACTATGTGGAGAATACTTGTTTGTGAATAATGTTTTGTTAACTATACCAAACGATGCCACGTGATGTTTGAATTTTTTTCTTATTATTCTAAATGTCGGAGACCTAGAGGTAGACCCAATACAAGGTGGAAGGATGTAGTGCTGAAGGACAAAAAGGGAATGTAATGTTGCTGACCGGATGTCGAAGACAGAGCGAAGTGGAGGACTAAAGTGAGGAAAGCCGAGCCCGCCACCATGTGAGATAAATAGCTGGGAAGAGAGAGAGAGAGAGAGAGATTATTCTAAACGTATAATAAAACGACATATATGAGAACTAATATAAATTTAAATTAGTTTAATTAATTAGAATTTAATTGGACACAGGTAAATCAATTATGAGCAGGATCCGTTCCACTCAGACGTTGTTGGACGATAAACCTAAGCAGTGGCACAAAAACGGTACCAATGCCGGGCGCCGTGTGAATTCGATAATTCTGAGATTATTGTTATCGTCTCGAATCAGGCACAAGGCCTTTTCTATCCCATTGTTTTCTTATGGAAATCCCTTGAGCGATGGAACGTAACGTGTACTGGGGAGGGAATGTGACACGAGATATTGAGATATATCGAGGCTTTTTGTAGCTGTAAGACCCGGATTTTTTATACCAATTTCTAGACCTCATACTTACGTTTCAAGATGAAGTAGACTGTAGTTGTTTTTATTTCTGATCTGTATACTTTCGGCATATCAAATACATGACAAAATCTTACTTTGAGACCGTTTAATGTCGAATTTCAGCTTCGTCGTGTAATACATCTGTTGAATTGCTGTTCTTGAATACATCTGTTATTGAATATGTATGTTATTTATCGGGCTGCTCTCCAGGAAGGTGCCCAACAATTGCCCAATTCGTATCGCCGCCTGCTTATAACTAAGAAGAAAAGACGAACAGGGTCATAATTGAAACTTCTTGAGTCAGGTCAATTAAAATTCTCTAATTTCGTTCATTTTTTGATTATAAAATCGAAATTGTACAAATTTAATCAAAATCGATATTCCATGAAAATCGAGAACAATCGAGAATATGAGTCGACAAGTCTGCTAAAATATTTCGAATATGAAAGTTCTAATGCTACGATTACAATGGCGCTCAAAAAAATAAGGTGAATATGTTATACACAATTTGATAAATAACAGAATTGCTGATTGCCCAACAGTGTCGAAGATGTAGAAGTGTTGTTTAGTTGCCATCGTGTATAGCGCGTGACGGATGTAAGGCCGGAAATATCGTCTGTAAGATTCTTTTTTTTTTTGCTTAGATGGTTGGACGAGTTTACAGCCCACCTGGTGTTAAGTGGCTACTGGAGCCCATAGACATCTACAATGTAAATTTTTTTTTTTTTTTTTTATTGCTTAGATNGTTAATTTTTTTTTTTTTTTTTATTGCCCTTGTAGGCAGACGAGCATACGGCCCACCTGATGGTGAGTGGTTACCGTCGCCCATGGACTTCAGCAATGCCAGGGGCAGAGCCAAGCCGCTGCCTATCGCATGCGCCACCCACCTTGAGATATAAGTTCTAAGGTCTCAGTATAGTTACAACGGCTACCCCACCCTTCAAACCGAAACGCATTACTGCTTCACGGCAGAAATAGGCTATAAAGTTTCCCAATGGTTATTGTCATGCCATAACAGTTATTATAAATCCATTTCAAGTCGAAGTCCATTTCCTTGCAGGAAAAATAGTGAAACATATAGTTTGTGTGTGTGTGTGTGTGCTTTTTATGATTGTGCGATTACTGGTGGCCGAGAGGTCTTTCTAGTTTCACCAGGACATGCGGGTGAGCAAAGCCTGAGCCAGGAGGGTGGCTATTTGCTAACAGAAGTTTGTGTCTTGTAGCTATCATAAAAAAGAAGAAATACTGCATAAGTAAAGCCCAAAATCGCGCTAAACCCATTTACTGATAAGATTCTAAAATTTACAAGCTCTGAATAAACAACGTTTGGAATGTTCGTCTACTAAGTGTTGCACTGCTCGGTGAAACATTTTTTCTGTGCCGTTTCAGTTGTTAAAATTTCACGGTACGCTCTACATTTTTTATTGCTTAGATGGGTGGACGAGCTCACAGCCCACCTGGTGTTAAGTGGTTACTGGAGCCCATAGACATCTACGACGTAAATGCGCCACCCACCTTGAGATATAAGTTCTAAGGTGTCAAGTAAAGTTACAACGACTGCCCCACCCTTCAAACCAAAGCGCATTACTGCTTCACGGCAGAAATATGCGGGGTGGTGTTACCTACCCGCGCCGACTCACAAGAGGTCCTACCACCAGTAAAAACCTGCAGCCTTACTTCCATAGAAGCTACATTTATTATGAAAACTCCCAACGAAGTTGTCCTATTATTTTGAACGGCAGTGTTCGTACACGAAAGTCATTCATATTCGACCGTAAATCATGAACAGTAAGCGTTTTTATTCACGTACACAAATATATTATGAATATTTACGTGAGCGCGAATAGACAAGAGGTATCGTTTGATAAATGATAGCGCTTTACGAATTTATGACGATGAATTTATTTTATTGCTAGCAGAAGCTGATAGGGTGTAGGTTCGTGATGTGCAGATAATGCATGGACATGTTGTCGGGATTTATATATTTATTGCATTTTTGGGTGAACAAAGTCACGGCCCACGTAGTCTTAAATGGTATCCCCTAGATACCAAGATTGAGTGCCTTCACCCACCATGAGACATGAGGTCGAAATTTCAATTATATTGTTACGGCTGTCCTACCTGACGGTCAGCTGCAGATGGTGGTACCTACCCGAGCGAACTTACAACACGCCCAATCTAGTATAGTGTCGTGTATCTGGTATGGATATAGTTTTGAAATCGTCGTGGCCTAAAGGATAAGACGTCCGGGGCATTCATATTTAGCGATGCATCGGTGTTCGAATCCCGCAAGCGGGTACTAATTTTTGCTACGCGAATACTAATGAAATACGTACTTAACAAAAGTTCACGATTGAATTCCAAGATGAAGGAATGACATCATGTAATAAAAATCAAACCCGTAAAATTATAATTTGCGTAATTAGTGGTGGTAGGACCTCTTGTGAGTCCGCACGAGTAGGTACCACCACCTTGGATATTTCTGCCGTGAAGTAGTAATGCTTTTCGGTTTTGCAGCCGTTGTACTGTAAAAAATGAGACCTAAGAACTCATACCTCAAGGTAGCTGCTGGCAGTATTTACGTTGTAAATGTCTATGGGCTTCGGTTACCATTTAACACCAGGTGGGCCGTGAGTTCGTCCACCCACCTGAGCAATAAAACTCTGGTAGCTATTTAACGTCATGTGGGCCGAAAGCTCTCGTCTGCTACACTAATAGAATTTAAAAATGAGACCACGAGCATGCCCAAATTATATGAGCAGAGGATTGAATTATAAGGCATAAAATGAAATGTAGACATTACTGCATATTTTGATCTTGAGCTCCGTATTTATTGATAATCATCTTTATGTTTCTCACACAAGCCTTAATGCAAAAGCACAAGACAAGTTTCTGAAGAATGAAATGTTTATTAATAGTAGTAGCTAAGGCAGTTGAGAGTAGAGTTACTTTTGATTTGGAGTAGCATCGCATACCTTCAATGAACTTCTGGTTTAACGGGTGACACATGGATAGCATCTTAAGTTTAGTTCAATTTTTCTTCATTATATATTTATTTGTATTGATTTGAAACGACTTCCATTATTAGGTACTATTGAGTTTTAAATTAATTAGGACTTTCTAATATAATAATATGATATTAAATGTTATATTATTATATAATATGAATATTAAATATGTGATATAAATTGTTTTGAATCATACAATAATAATAAAACTTTGTTTCAGAACATGAAGTTTCTATGGTACTTCATCGCCGTGATGACGGTAGCTGAATCAGCAGTGGATATCGAGAAAACAGTGAAACAAGTACAAAATATTTTGCAGTCACATTCTGAACTCCCTAGACTTACCCGCGAAGAGATCATACAGCTGATGAATGATATCAAAGCTGAAGACGAAAAAACTTCAACATCGAAACAAAGCAGTAAAGAGAGCAATGAAATTAAAATCACAACACCTTACAGTACATCAGACAATGAAATATATTCAGTAACGCAGACGTTAGATAATGAGGAAATTTTACTGATAAATGATGTGGCTTCAGTTCAGCCAGACACACTTGAGGCAACGACAAAGAAAAGTGAACCATCTCTAACCGTTGTACTTCCTTATACTCCTAGAGACGGATCTTCATTACAAGAGCTATACACTAGACCACCAAGAGTTGAAATTGTACCTGCTTCTGAAGTAACTCCGCAGCCAATGAAAACATCCGATATAAATCAAATACAAATTAATAACGTAAATAAACAGAAAGAAGACTTCACTGCGGAATTGAGGGCATTTTTAGATGCTCATGGTTTGAAAGCTAAACCGGGACAAGATCACTTCTTGCTCCCTCTAGAAGGTTTCAAGCCATTGCCGCCGGCAAAAATAATTGACGGTAATATTGATTTACCAGAAAATATTCTTTTAACTTACGATTTGATTTCACCAGCAGAACTAAAAGCCAGTAAAGTCCAAACTATTTCACCTACGAATTTTTTGTACGAGCCTCTTCGTCCAGAGATTCCGTTTGAATTAGACACTTCATCATCTGAAATCAAAGAGGTAGTCTATCCTTATGACATGCCGAAGAGTAGAAAACCAAAGTCCGCACCGAATTATGAGCCAATCGACTACGACTCCGTCAAAGTAATTCCTTTAAATAAAGGCATCAACCCGATCGAAGACATAAAATCTACTGTTGAAAATGAACAGAGCAAAAGACAGACCAATAGTACTGATGTTACTGAAGCTTCTATAACTACCGAGGAACCAAAAGCAGCTAGTGATACTGTTCAAGACTCTTCACCTTCTCCTATTCCGGATGACGCCGGAGCGTCTATAGCAGATCTGGAGGATTCTTTTGGAGGAGCAGCACCGTCTCTGCCCGGGGATTCCGAATTACCGCCTCCAAGGAAGAACGGCTTTTACTGGATGCTTGATTGGAATAGTTTTCTAGAAGTAGGAGACGGTGATACAAAAGTGAATATACGTTTCGAACCAAAACTCGGAGACCCGCAGATGTTCCTGCCTGTAACGGTTCCCTAACTCCTCAATTAACTATTTTATAGTTTTACGAGTTCTAGTCCCGACGTTTAGATATTATTGAAATTACTTTGACATTCAGTTGCAATTATTTAATTAGTGCTAATATGCTAATAGGCAGCTGTGAGCACTAATGAACATACTCCAATTCATGTCCACAAAGCTATTTCTATACAATGTTCAAGGCGCCGACCTCTTATTTCTAACAGGGATGTTTTAAGTAAGAGACGCATGCCGTGCGGTAGGTTTGACGTATTATATGGATTGTTGCAAGGCATATGATGAGCATTGGTTTTGAGCTTTGAGGGAAAGAAGATGAAGACACTAATCCGACAAGCAATCTATAAGTTTCTCTAGTCCAACATGAATTACATGTGTCTTCTGTTTTAACCGACCTCTAATGGAAAGTAGAATATTCTCAATTCAGAGCATATGACTTTACTTTTCGCGTTAGCCTAATAATATTTCAATGACAGGTCATTAAATTATTTCGAAATCTCTGCATCGTTCTTCCGATTATGTTTAAAGTTGTACATTTGTTATTGCCACTTTAGAGAATATTTCAGGTTCAAATGGTGGCACGGAATTTGTATTTCACAATATTAAATTTAGCGTCAGTCACGACCAGCCTGCAGTTAAGGACAATCCCAAATCATTCAAGCTCCTGAAAATATTAAGCAGGTGTTCATTTGAAAACCAATTTATCTTCAATAATTTCATTGTTTTGTATTATTGTACAGTAAATAAATAATAAATAAACATTGGTAAATAAAACAGCATGTGTTCCGTTGAATACGGGAGCGCGTAATGGAGTTGAATAATTAACGATACTTTTAATTGTTGTTTCAACTTGTTTGTCGAGAGGCCGAGGCTTTAATTTTAATATTTGATTGAACAATTTTTTATATACAATACTACATAGTAATTTAAAATATTTTTACTACCATATTTATTTAAGCGGTTAGCTAGTTATTAAGTATAAAAATGAACAAAATGGTTTGAGTTTTATTTTCATTAATTTATATTACCACTCATCATAGAAAGATGGAGTGACCAAGTGTCCGAGTATCTGGACATGAGACTGAGCCACGCACTTTACTGCCACTGACCGACAAAAGTGGCTACAAATTACAAAAAAAGGTCACAGGCGGGCGCATCACGATGGTCAGCAATGAGCGATCGACTGAAGGAGGAGGAGGAGAGGAGGATATTACCACAGATCAGCATAACAGTTCGCAACCCATAGCTCACCACGAATCCTCTCCCAAGAAATATATATACTTAATGAGAACTACGTATGTATAAGGTAGTTCACGGTTATCATAACACACAATAAGGTAGATTGATCGAGTATAGTTCCTGGATTGATGTACCGTTAGCCACAGACACGGCGGTGCGGTTTTCCACAGAGGTCGCTCCTTGCCCTCCCTTGTGGAACATCAGCTGCGATTGGGTCCTGCGGAGCCTCATGGTCCACTCCCAGGCTCACGACCGGCTTGTTACATGAACATTTAACGTTGGCCTGGCTCGGAGGAAGAGCTTTCGCTAATCTGCCTATCTTGCCTGTGCGGAAGTGGCATTCATCATCGAGAGACCCTGAGGCTGGGTTTAGAGATGGCACCCGACAAATATGAGACTCTGTTGATTCACGGGGCAAGGAAAGCGCCACCGGTTGACGCTCATTTCGTGATCGGGACCTTTTGCGTCGTAATCAGGGTGAACGGTCATAAGTACCTAAGCCTCGAATTGGATGATCGTTGGAATTTTCGCGCTCAATTCGAGAAGTTTGTCCTCCGGTTGATGACGACGATCGGCTCTGGTTACCACTCTGTCTCTGGAGGGCCGTGAGCTCATTCACGCAATAAAAAAACAAAAAAAACCTTCTAATTTTTCGATATTTAAATTTAATAGATTGGATTCAAATCGTGCAAATTTTCTTTGCTAAATAAAAACAGTAAACTTAATAAATGTACCCACAAAAAACTCGTAATAAAATTATATTTACTGTTGACTGCTTTCGTTCGGTTCACGATTATTTATTTATTTTCTCAAATGTATGACTTCAAATCTAAATATAATTGAGTAAAAATATTTGTTAAGAAAATATCAGAGGCACGAATCAAAAAATAATTGTTGACAAGACATTTTCTTGTTAACAGAGTTCAGAAAATGCTTCATCTTATAAAAAAATTACTTTTCTATGCAAATAATTCAAAGCCAGTTCCACAAAGGGTGATTCTTGTGAAATTTGATCTTTAAAATAGTATGTATTTAATCTAAGATTATTTTGAACCAGGTGAGCAGAATGTATAATATCGCCTATCAAGAAGTTGCAGGTTCGAAGTAAAGTTAATGTTGGAGTCGTTCTCTATCAGTGGACTCAGCAGGCCGGCGGCCGCCATCAGTGCGCCGCCTCTACACAGAGCTGGTGCGGTCGATGGCGCTGTACAGTGCTCTTGTATGGCGCCACGCCCTGGCACGCGACCTCAGCAGTCGTTCAGGGCAGTACGTGGATACTGTCTCGTTCAAAGTGACATGTGTCCTCGCTGGGGCGTATTTTTGAGAGGTGGAGGCGTTTACAGCGGATTACGAGTGGCGACGCGATCTTCGCTCCCGAGGGGAGCCGCGACCCAGCGGAAGTTCGAGCGTGAGGCTCTACTCTCGGCGGGCCGTGCTTGAGGCGTGGTCTCGTTGCCTGACAGATCCGCCTAAGGACAAGGAGCTGGCGAGGCAATCTCGAGTTAGGATCGCCCTCCTAAGTATACCATGTATACATACACACATACGCTCACACACACACAACCGCACGCACACACACTCACACACATATGTAAGTCACTATCTGATCAAATTAAATCTATTAACTGGACAATATTAATTATTTGAGAAATATGTTTAACTAATCTACAATATTTATAAAAAATATTCTCAAATATATCAAGATCAGTGTTGCTACTTGCCAACTCATTATATTGTCGTGCCATTATTTATCAGTGTAGACAATGTCACAACCTCATAGTTCAATCAGTATTTAACACGAAACAAACACTAGTTGTCGCACGCGACATTACTTTCGCACGGTCGACTGGTCGCGATCACATTCCAAACATTTATCATCCCGCTAATGACGCAGAAACTCTTAATGATCTTGCAGCACTCAAACATAATACCTTACACTTTCACTGTTCTTAATCAATAAAATAAGTTTGATTAATTAGCTAATGGTTCATGANATCAGTATTTAACACGAAACAAACACTAGTTGTCGCACGCGACATTACTTTCGCACGGTCGACTGGTCGCGATCACATTCCAAACATTTATCATCCCGCTAATGACGCAGAAACTCTTAATGATCTTGCAGCACTCAAACATAATACCTTACACTTTCACTGTTCTTAATCAATAAAATAAGTTTGATTAATTAGCTAATGGTTCATGAATTAGCAAAAAAGGAGGTCTTAAAATATTGTGAATATGGTTCATTGTTGACTTACTCGACAATCAAATCCATGTAAGAATGGAATTAGATTTTACGACTGAAGTGGATAAAAAGTTCTTTTTTTTATTGCTTAGATGGGTGGACGAGCTCACAGCCCATCTGGTGTTAAGTGGTTACTGGAGCCCATAGAATCTACATCGTAAATGCGCCACCCACCTTGAGATATAAGTTCTAAGGTCTCAGTATAGTTACAACGGCTGCACCACACTTCAAACCCAAAACGCATTACTGCTTCACGGCAGAAATAGGCAGGGTACCCACCCGCGCGGACTCACAAGAGGTCCTACCACCAGTTATTAAAATACCTATTACCGCTTATTAAAAAGAATACAAATGGAACTAATAATACATAGGATGCATTTGCTTATAGAAGTCAGCTGAACTATTGGCTCGATGCCCTTATCTTGGCGCTACAAGCTGCATCAAAATTAACTGATTATGTGACTTTTAGTGTTACGTACTCTTAGTACGATAAATGCTTCCGTGTAATGTGATTCTGCATGGAGGAACTGAAAACACAATAACTGTCAAGGGTTAAAGCTACGGACAATCATTGTCCAACAAAAAACTATACAATCAGAATGATACTAATTAAAACTACTTTAAGGTTTAATATCGCGGTTTTTATTGCCACTAAATTTTTTTCGAACGCTTCGAATAGTTAGCAGTTTTCTTGGTCGCGGTCGATTAAGAAGCTTTTTGTCGAAATTTCAATTATAAGTACCGTTTATTGTTCCAATTATTTTTTAAATAAACTTCTGCGTTACTTTTAAATTTAATAATTTAATAAAATAAACAGATTAAGATACTGATATGAAATGATATGAAGATACCTTTTTTTTATATTTTTTTTTATTGCTTAGATGGATGGACGAGCTCACAGCCCAACTGATGTTAAGTGGTTACTGGAGCCCATAGACATCTACAACGTAAATGTGCCACCCACCTTGAGATATAAGTTGTAAGGTCTCAGTATAGTTACAACGGCTACCCTACCCTTCGAACCGAAACGCATTACTGCTTCACGGCAGAAATAGGCAGGGCGGTGGTACCTACCCGCGCGGACTCACAACAGGTCCTACCACCAATATCTATAATTTACTGTTAAAATCATGTAGCTCTTCTTTAAAAAAAAGTTGTCTGTGCACTCATTGTTGAGGGTCTGTGGTGTGAAAACTTAGACCACGTTTGCCTTTGAAAGCAATAAAGTATCCGATAAAAATGTTTACTTTTTTTTCGTCATCCTCAAACACCCTGAGGGCTTTTGGCCGTTTTCACAACAGATATCCATCAATGTCACAACCAGCGACAGTGAGATTCGGATATTATATCCAAGATAGTCTTTTACTAGAAAAATGTATGAAAAAAGCTCTATTCATTTTAACTTTTGGGTTTGAAAAATTATGCCTCAAATTGACGTGTAATTTAGAATGACAAATTGATTATTATTTTAACGGTTTTTAAGTGTTTCAAGTAGACAAGTAAGAGCATTTCACAGTAGGGGCGTTCACGGGCTCCCGGGCTACTTCGCTTAAAGACTGTCACAGTGTGGTGAGCCACACGCCCTGCGGTGATTTATGGCCATTTGT